GAGAGGAGTGATTAGCAGGGTGTTCTGACAAGTCCTTCTGAACCTGCAGGGTTTGTATCAAAGCTCACTTGAAAAATCTGACTATTGAGGCCTGTGCTGAACTTCTGAAGGTACTGCAGGACCCGTCTGTGCATTAGGATTTATGGCTTGGCATTCTTTGCTAATTACAGATATAGTAGAAAAGGAGTTTGTCAGAGTGTAGAGTAGGTGATTTTCCTGAAAGAGACCAGGGGAAGCTGCTTTAAAACATTTCCCCAAGACATTTTTCAGGCAGCTCAAATTTTGCAGAGTGAAACATGGTAATCTTTCAGAAATTATTGTTTCTTAGTCATTGGGCAAACTTTTAATCAGAACCCACTAGATTACTAACAATATTTGAAATATGAGAGAATTAGCCCAGAGATACTAGGTCATAGTCAGGTTTTCCCTGGTGATCCAAAATGTTAATTTTGAGTCTCACAAACAGTATCTAGTGCTGTTATGATTTCAATAAGCCTTTCCACCCTTCTATAGGGAGAAGGCTAATGAGGGGACTGAGTAATGATAGTAATGATGCATTCATAAAATGTGAAATACAGGACCATAAGCAATATTGGTGGTTTTTTTTGGGTTATTGACTATTTGAATATTGTTTATGAGCTGTAAGTAAATATATGCTTCAGAGCTGAACCCCAAGACTGTGGTCCTCTGAAGTGTTGAGCTGTTCCAGAAAGTGTGAACACACAGAGTTGTAATCAGAGTCCTTGTGAAGAGCTCACTGCCTGGCACAGAATTTGATTCATAACTTTATCAAAAGAAAAGTCAAATTTTTTTGGGTTCTGTTTCTGAATTTGTCTTTCTTAACAGCAGACATAACAGAAATACTTCGATAAGAAGCTATTTAAAGTCTGAATTTTCTTGAATTGATAGGCATATCTCTTTGTTTTTGTTGCTTATTGAGGGAGCCTGTTATGATCCTGTCAGTGAAGTAGGTGCTTTGGTTAAACACCTACCTGGTTAAAATGAGTGTGAATTTTCTTGTGTACAGGTGTTAGAGGCACTTTTGGAAGCGGCCTGCAGTGTTTGAACAGGACATCTTTAATATGAAATAAGGGCATACAAGCTCTTCCATTGTCAGAGTCATGCTGAAATCTCAAAAGGCCTCTGAACAGAGGCAGTTATCCAAAGAGAAAGACTTCCTTGAAAGAAAGCAAAACTGAAGTTAGTGGCATTTGCTTGTACCTTTGCTGAGGAATTAAGAGATGGTGCAGTCATCCCCTCGAGTCACTGTCACTGCAGTTTTATCTCCCTGACATTCCCCTGCGTTTGAAATCAAGTAGTTCCAATGCTCATTTGCTGTGTGGGGTTCATGAACAAGGCAAGGTGCTATTTTGGTTCCTCATGGACAGAATTTCAAGGAGATGGAGGACAGTAAATCAAGCTGAAACTGAAAGACAAATATTTTTCAGATGGGGGAGCTCTGGGGAGCAGGGCAATGAGGGGATGTCTCCTGTACTCATCCCTCAGAGACTGCTCTTGCTGGAAGCAGGGAAAACTTGTGCAGAGGTGTTGCAGCTCACCTCCTGTGGAAATTAAAATAAATAGTTCAGAGAAGTGCGTGCTTAACTAGAAGCAGTGAGAAATGAATTTGGTTGTGTGTTTTTTGGGAAGCCTTGTACTATTCATGGTCTCCTTTGATCCAATAGATGGATCTGGGATCTAATGGACACTCATCTTGAGTGTAGAGGACTCAGATATGTGCACTGAACTACTTTTACGTGTCAGGAGTTTGGTGGTCCTGCGAATTCTCTGTGCCTGTAAATACATAAATACATTATATGTATGTACTTTTAATTTTAAAGTTTAGGATGTTTAAATAAATCAGAAATGATCAATAAAATGTCCTGTCTCAGTTTGGGGCAGGGGAGATTTATTTAAAACTACCAAGTTTCTTGGGGGCCAAGGTTCATTAAAGTGTAGAGAAGCTTAGATTTTATTTTTAGTTGACGTGGTGGTGTTTGATCAAAGTCTGGACTCGATGATCTTGGTCTCTTCCAACCTCAATGATTCTATGGTTTATTTTATTTCTCTATACCATGTGTGCCTTGGTTTCTAATGTGCACCTTCCTTTGGGAGGATGGTCAAAGGCACAGTAGAGGTCTCAGCAGAGCACAGCTTGTGCTTCTTCCCTTGGAGGTGCCTCTGCAAATCCTCCTGCTGTCCACGGGCTCAGCAGAGCCCCTGCAGGCTCCCTGCAGCTCAAGGTGGGGATGTGCTGCTGCAGCACTGAGACCTGGAACTGTTCTCTCCTAGTGTAGATGTAGTTTGGCATTTAGCACTGGCCAGAGATGGTTTCCAGTGGGAAGTCTGGGTGGGCACCTTGTTTTAGAAGCTAAAACAGTTGATGAGAATTGTGGTCCCCACACCAGTGGGCCTTGGTGGCAGGGAATGGGCACATTCAATTTATCAGGGCCAATGTATCCTGAGATCCACATCCAAAGCACATTGAAGCCTAGGATCAAACCCTGAACACACAGGGGATTTAAATCTCCAGGGTACCTTTCAGGATCATTAAAAAATTGCACATAAATCCAATTATTTCTCAGGTAACATGCTGATTTGATTTAGACCCATTAAGTGTAATTACTGGGTGGGCTGCAGGAACAGATAATTAGAGGGAATTGGCATACTATTTAATTGGTCTAACATGAATTCACTTTAACTGAAATCTGGAGTCACCAATATTATTCAAACAATTCAGTGTTTGTTCATCCCCCTCACTTCAGAGACAGAGAACCGTGTAAGATCGTGTGTTATTGTAAGCTAGGAAATATTTGCTCTGTGTGCCAGAGTTTCTGGAGGGGCTGTGTGATCTAATCCTGGCTGGGAACAGGACCTGTGGGGCTGCCCAAGTCATGCTGAGGAAACACCTTCAGCTCTCTGCATCCCAGCAATACCACTGCAGCTGATTTTATTTGGTTGGGTCTCTGCTCTGGCCTATTGCACCAGCAGAGATTCATCTGCCCCTGCACGGCAGCTCTTTGCCAGTTGTGGCTTTTTGGTTGTTTGTTTTTTTTCTGGATTTGTTGTTTCAAAAGTGTCAATGCTCCTGAACAAAATGGAGACATAAGTGTTTGCCCTGCCCTGCAGAAGGAATACTTAGGATAAGATGTGTTGTCTGAGTGGCCATCTCAGGCAGTGCTGTTGAGAAAAGAGATAGCTCCTACCTTATTTATTTGACTTACTCCATGAGACCCCCACATAGTGCCTTTCTTCTGTGTCCTCCTTTGCCATTGCTCTGCTGGATGAACTGATTCCTTCTCAGCTCTGAAGAGCCTAAAGCTGCAGCTTCCCAGAAAATGCTACAGTGATATTTTCCCACTTTCCTCTTGGGCAGTTGCTACTT